TAGTAGGTTCGGCCACTCTGGAAGTTGTAGGGTTGGATTTCCGAGTTCTTGTATGAGGATGGGAATCCACACCCTCACTGGCCAGTAGGGCGCAACTAAAATCAGTTGCAGGTTCTTCGTCTGCTTTATGTTCTGCAATACCTACGGTATCACAGGGGCGTGTCACGCTTAGAAACAGCGTTAGAAAGACATATAGGTATATAGACCCTATCCTGGAACTATATAAAAGGAAAGGGATGTAACGACGGAACCACACCCTCCTCAATCAAAGTTAGATTTCACAACGTAAACTATTTTTCAGGCCCCATCGAGGCCTACGGATCGAAAGCGAGATGATTTCACTACAAAATGAGCTATAAATGGTCACAATCGGATCATTATTTCAAAAGTTATATGCCACGACTCACCGAAAACAAGTGAGTATGATTGCCGATGGTTTTGGAGAAAATGCCTGCTTATTGTCGAGGAAATGATTTGTAGATGTTGCAATAAGTTTTTAGACCCCTGGAATGCCGCTGCCAATCGAATCTAGCCCTACATAGGTGCTGTCAACGTGACTGGAATTAATAAACGAATTTAACAGGTGAGTTTTCGCTGTCTTGATTTTGGCTTGGAATTGCGGAGGTAGCTGTTTTCGGTGAGTCGTGGCATATAACTTTTGAAATAATGATCCGATTGTGACCATTTATAGCTCATTTTGTAGGGAAATCATCTCGCTTTCGATCCGTAGGCCTCGACGGGGCCTGAAAAATAGTTTACATGGTGAAATCTAACTTTGATTGAGGAGGGTGTGGTTCCGTCGTTACATCCCTTTCCTTTTATATAGTTCTAGGGTAAGGTCTATATACCTATATGTCTTTCTAACGCTGTTTCTAAGCGTGACACGCCCCTGTGTGCGGTATTAGAGCTGGAGGTGGAAACGCGTAGATGCGTTTAATCCTTCCCAGGAGATGCTTAGAGCATCTGTTGCCCATGCTTGTGGATCCGGAACCGGAAAGACATATGTTGGTATTTGTTTGTTGAACCTTGTAGCAAACAGGTCTATCAGTGGAGATCCTATCCTCTGTATGATGCATCTGAATGATTCTGGGTGTAACATCCATTCCGTTGGGGATGGTTGTGTTGGACGAGATAGGGCGTCTGCTATCACATTCTTGGCTCCGGGAATGTGACATGCTTTCACGTCGATGTTCAAATTGTCTATTATGCTGAACAGATGAAAGCTGAGATCTAGTAGATTCTTTGATCTTGTTGATCCTTGTTTGTTGACATAGAACGCCACTGTGGAGTTGTCCGTATGGATCATCAGTTGTGCGTTCCTTAGTATGCTGGAACAATGTAGTAAGGTGTTTATGACTGCTTTCATCTCGAGCATGTTGATTTGCAGATTTTGCTCCTGACTCGACAATTTCCCTGCTGCCACCTCGTTGTTGAGGTGGGCTCCCCATCCTTGAAGTGATGCATCTACGTAGAGATGAGTGTTGTACTCTGGCTCTGATAAGTAGGTTCCTCCGCAAACATTTGACTTCCGAGTCCACCATAGGAGATATGGTTTCAGTCCGTCCGAAAGTCCGAAGGAGTCCGGACTGTCTAGATGAGCTTTCACGAACACTTGTAGTGTGCGCAGATGTAGTCTACCTCTGCGTGTCATGTCTTGTGCTGACGTGAGGAGACCAAGTAGGCTCTGCCAACTTCGTAGTGGTAACGGAGAGAATAGTGCTTGAGATATCATTTGTTGTTTCTTGACCCAAAGCTCTTTTGGGACGACTATGCGATTCTGCGATGTGATGAACCGTATTCCTAGGAATTGCAGATCCTGTGTGGGTTCTAGTTCCGATTTGAGGAGATTTACTAGCCATCCTAGTTGTGTGAGCAGCCTGATTGTGAAGACTAGTTGCAGTCTGAGTTGACTGGGATCTTGATGAGCTTGAATCCCGTCGTCCAGGTAAAACGCACTGCGTAGACCTCGATGATGTAGAGAATTGAGATGATTGACTTTGTCACTTGAGTAAACAACCAGGGGGGCCGACGATATTCCAAATGGTAGCACCTTCCATTGGAAGTGACGTCCGTTGAAGAGGAATCGTAGGTATTTCCTTGAGTCTGGATGAATCGGGATGTGAAGATACTCATCCTGTAGATCTATGCTGGCGAGGTAGTCTAATGGACGTACGAGTTGTCGCAGTTGAGGCAGATGTATCATTCTGAACTTTACGGGACTGCGTAGATAATCTTGGTTGAATTTCCTCATGTTGTATATAAGTCGGAACTTTTCTTTGGTACTAAGAAGATTGGGGAGTAAAAACCGGGCGTGACGAACTCCTGTTTTATTTCTTTGATCGCCTCCTTCTCGAGTAGAGTTGTGATAGCGTCGAGTGGATTCTCCCTCTGGTCGGCAGCATAATTGTGGGCCAGAGAGTAGCTTGTCAATGGTGGTACTGCTAGTAGTTACATCTTGTATCCTCTGTGTAGGATCTGGGATACATAGAAGTCCTGAAGAATTCCCCAATTCTTCCAATAGGGTTGTAGACGTCGACCCACTGTTAAAGGTTGTATGGGAACGGCTGGGGGTCCTTCAGCGTCTAAAGTTCCTGGCACCTCTGGATGCCCTGCCTCTTCTGGGGTTACCTCTGGGAGCTCCGGTTGGGCGATGAAAAGAATCCTTGCCTCCTCAGGATCTGCCATATTTCTTTTCCCTGGCTCTTTGTATTCCTGTAAACTTCGACTTGCCAGAGTAGCGTTGCGAGGTCTGATGGATAACACTGGCTAGTGTGTCGATGGACTTGATCATCATTACCTCCCTTGACTCTTTCGTTACTTCCTTGGCCACATCCTCAATTTCCCCTGCTAAGATAGATGGTGCTGACCACGGAGCTCTGTATAGTGACTTGGTGAAGCATTCACTCCACGTACAGGAAGACAGCAATCCTTGTCTTATTAATAGTGTCAGTCCTGCTGATGTAGATGCCAGATGTTCAGACATGAAATGATGATCTTTCTTCTGGGTTAGTAATGCCGAGTAGATCATTCTATCTTCTTCCCGAGGTCGAGTTCCTAACCTTCTCGATGAGAGTTTCGTTGATGGCTCTTGACCTGGTTAAGCCAAAGAAGGTACATCTGGTAGTTGTGTCTAGTTGTGCCAACTTCTTATCTTCCACTTTGTAAGTCCTGGCTCGGGAGTCGTTGATGATCTTGTAGTTCTCATCTACCTCTGGGGCCTTTGTGAAGGGTTCCATGTGGTGAAGAGAGAATTTCTTGGCGTTGAATGGTGGGACGCTCTGACTCTGGCACTTCATTGCCTTCCTGAAGGCTGTGCTGAGGTTTCCTGGTACATCTGTGACAGGATCGATGGGTGGAAGAGTAAGTGTATCGAAGTCCTCGTTAGACATCCAGGATTTAATTTCTGTATCGGAAAATATAATTCCCCATCATCTTCGGATTTAGAGGCTTCTAGTTCTGGAGATGGTTGCCATTCTGTCTCTTTCCTGCGTGGAGATCTGCGTGGAGACCTGCGTGGAAACCTGTCGCGGAGATGTATCTCTGTGCCTTTGCGAAGGTGTAGATTCTCTTCTATGGTGCCGTCGCGAAGGCTCCTGATGGCTGTCCATATCAGAGGAGGATGATCTGCGATTCTCCGGTGAACGTCTGTTTCTGTTCCTTCGCAAATGCACCTTCGGTGAAGGTGTCCTAGTACGTCGTAGAGTGTGCGATCCTTCGCGCATGCTTGCTTCCGCCAGCGCATGCTTCCTCCTTCACGCATGCTTCCTCCTTCGTGCAGGATTCCGCCTTCGCGCAGGCTTCCTCCTTCGCGCATGCTTCTTCCTTCGCGCATGCTTCCACCTTCGCGCAGGCTTCCTCCTTCGCGCATGCTTCCTCCTTCGCGCAGGCTGCTGTCATCGGTGGGATGTGATCTGCAGGCTGCTTGACCTTCGCGCAGGCTCGATGTGGATGGGGCCTCCGCCGCTGCTTTCTCCTGTGCGAACCTCTGTTCCATCAGGTCCAACATCTGCTGTGTAAACTGCTGCATGAAGACCCTGGGGTTGAAGCTCTGCGACGACTACTGCTGCTGCTGCACTGCAGACGATGCATCTGAGAGTACCGAGACTTCTCCCAAGGACTGCTCCACTTGTGACGAACTGCCATCTCTATCTGATGTCTGCGTTGATGAAACGTCTGACTGCGTTGAGATGACTGCTGATGTTACTGTAGATGAAGACCTCGTTTTCTTCCTCACTGGCACTTCAGGGATGAGGATGGGTGGCTCATCTGCTGGGATGATCTCTGTAGCAAAAGACCTCGTCTTAAGAGCTGCCCCATGTGAAGACTTAGCCGGAGTCTTGTTAGTAGACGATTTCTTCTTCTGGGAAGACGATGCCCTCGTCTTCTTCGACTGCGATGAAGTTATAGTTGATGTAGACTACCTCTTCTTGGAGCCGGAGCTGCCATCAGTCACAGCGACCTGCTCCGTAGACGCAGCCGGTAAACCACTAGAATGGTGAATGTCAGTAGGCAACAACAAACGGTTATAAACGCAATCAGTTTGTTTAAACACGATGAAAACACATGTCAACAACGTGAACAAATACAGATAATTTTGACAAAATTTCAAACCATATTGTTGGTATATCAATCCTAAAACCGTATACAGCTAATTTAGTAGCAAAGGCCTCAAAATTAAAGGATATAACGCTGTATAGGGGACCCAGGCACTCTCACAACCGTCCTCAAGGGCGAAGAAGGAGAGAGTGAGGGGCATGTCTGATCATGTGACACATTTTCCCGCCAAAAGTCACAAGGGAGATAAAACTGGGTGAGTGATTTTACATCCGCTTTTTTTAAGGGAGCTTCAAAGGGGATTCAAGTGTTCCAATATCATTCACAAGAAGAAAGACACAAGCAATTAAGCATGAGTCAGGATAAGGAAAAATTTGAATGCTTCAATAGTGCAATGTATGTTTATATCAAGGTTAAAAAAACGTAAAGATAAAGCATATACTGACTATCTTAATCCCGGTGGAGAAGGTGGTGGGAGCGGATGCACGGCTTGCTGCCTCAAGCTGGTTCACACATTCTCTGTGGGTGGCCACGATGTCCGTGGCAGACAAGTCAGAAAACATCTACAATAGCCAAAGTTATGATCATTAACACAAGCACTACACTCTGGCAGTATCTATGTTGAAATACATCATGTGTTAAATACAGTATGGAGGCAAGGCAGAATTGGATCTGAAACACACTTGCTATACAAAATAGCTGGCCTTCACCTTCCGTAGAAAGTTTCAGTACCCACCAGTTCATCTATCAGGGCAGCCTTGTTCTTCTTCTTGAAAGCTTTATCCCTAGCGGCCTCTTCCTCAATCATTTGCTTTCGAACTGCTGTGTCATGTTTCTCCTGCTCAATCAGTTGGTCAAGGTACTCCTGGTCTTTACTCTGAAATATCACCAGTAAAGTACTGATGTATACTACACTGCAGTAAGGTACTGATGTATACTACACTGCAGTAAGGTACTGATGTATACTACACTGCAGTAAGGTACTGATGTATACTACACTGCAGTAAGGTACTGATGTATATTACACTGCAGTAAGGTACTGATGTATACTACACTGCAATAAAGTACTGATGTATACTACACTGCAGTAAGGTACTGATGTATACTACACTGCAGTAAAGTACTGATGTATACTACACTGCAGTAAAGTACTGATGTATACTACACTGCAGTAAGGTACTGATGTATATTACATTGCAGTAAGGTACTGATGTATACTACACTGCAGTAAGGTACTGATGTATACTACACTGCAGTAAGGTACTGATGTATATTACACTGCAGTAAGGTACTGATGTATACTACACTGCAGTAAGGTACTGATGTATACTACATTGCAGTAAGGTACTGATGTATACTACACTGCAGTAAGGTACTGATGTATATTACACTGCAGTAAAGTACTGATGTATACTACACTGCAGTAAGATACTAATGTATACTACACTGCAGTAAGGTACTGATGTATACTACACTGCAGTAAGGTACTGATGTATATTACACTGCAGTAAGATACTAATGTATACTACACTGCAGTAAGGTACTGATGTATACTACACTGCAGTGAGGTACTGATGTATACTACACTGCAGTAAGGTACTGATGTATACTACACTGCAGTAAGGTACTGATGTATACTACACTGCAGTAAGGTACTGATGTATATTACACTGCAGTAAGGTACTGATGTATGCTACACTGCAGTAAAGGTACTGATGTATACTACACTGCAGTAAAGTACTGATGTATACTACACTGCAGTAAGGTACTGATGTATACTACACTGCAGTAAGGTACTGATGTATATTACACTGCAGTAAGGTACTGATGTATATTACACTGCAGTAAGGTACTGATGTATACTACACTGCAGTAAGGTACTGATGTATACTACACTGCAGTAAAGTACTGATGTATATTACACTGCAGTAAGGTACTGATGTATACTACACTGCAGTAAGGTACTGATGTATACTACACTGCAGTAAAGTACTGATGTATATTACACTGCAGTAAGGTACTGATGTATACTACACTGCAGTAAGGTACTGATGTATACTACACTGCAGTAAGGTACTGATGTATACTACACTGCAGTAAGGTACTGATGTATACTACACTGCAGTAAGGTACTGATGTATACTACACTGCAGTAAGGTACTGATGTATATTACACTGCAGTAAGGTACTGATGTATACTACACTGCAGTAAGGTACTGATGTATACTACACTGCAGTAAGGTACTGATGTATACTACACTGCAGTAAGGTACTGATGTATACTACACTGCAGTAAGGTACTGATGTATACTACACTGCAGTAAGATACTGATGTATACTACACTGCAGTAAGGTACTGATGTATATTACACTGCAGTAAGGTACTGATGTATACTACACTGCAGTAAGGTACTGATGTATATTACACTGCAGTAAGATACTGATGTATACTACACTGCAGTAAGGTACTGATGTATATTACACTGCAGTAAGATACTGATGTATATTACACTGCAGTAAGGTACTGATGTATACTACACTGCAGTAAGGTACTGATGTATACTACACTGCAGTAAGGTACTGATGATGTATACTACACTGCAGTAAGGTACTGATGTATATTACACTGCAGTAAAGGTACTGATGTATATTACACTGCAGTAAGGTACTGATGTATACTACACTGCAGTAAGGTACTGATGTATATTACACTGCAGTAAGTAAGGTACTGATGTATATTACACTGCAGTAAGGTACTGATGTATATTACACTGCAGTAAGGTACTGATGTATACTACACTGCAGTAAGGTACTGATGTATATTACATTGCAGTAAGGTACTGATGTATATTACACTGCAGTAAGGTACTGATGTATATTACACTGCAGTAAGGTACTGATGTATATTACACTGCAGTAAGGTACTGATGTATACTACACTGCAGTAAGGTACTTATGTATACTACACTGCAGTAAGGTACTGATGTATACTACACTGCAGTAAGGTACTGATGTATACTACACTGCAGTAAGGTACTGATGTATATTACACTGCAGTAAGGTACTGATGTATATTACACTGCAGTAAGGTACTGATGTATACTACACTGCAGTAAGGTACTGATGTATATTACACTGCAGTAAGGTACTGATGTATACTACACTGCAGTAAGGTACTGATGTATATTACACTGCAGTAAGATACTGATGTATACTACACTGCAGTAAGGTACTGATGTATATTACACTGCAGTAAGGTACTGATGTATATTACATTGCAGTAAGGTACTGATGTATATTACACTGCAGTAAGGTACTGATGTATACTACACTGCAGTAAGGTACTGATGTATATTACACTGGAGTAAGGTACTGAAGTATGTTTACACTGCAAGGTACTGATGTCACTGTTAGAAAGAACTAAAAAACCAACTTGTTTACCATTTTTGACAGGTTTTTCTTGATCTGATCTTTGTTGTCCTTCCTGTACTGTTCTATCATCTTTCGTGTGCTCTCAACATCAATACCATTGGTCAGATTGAAAACTGCTCCCCAAAGAAAGATAAACAATATTTGACATACAAGCAAACTACACCATTGTTGACAAACATGAGTAAGGCCATATTGAGGCATTGATCTGCCTCTGTTACCAGTATCACCGTACAATATCATAACATACAAGTTGTTAACTTGGATAAGATGCTTTTTATCAGTCAATCAGCAAATTGGCTTTGAAATTCTCTGAGTTACCAAAGCATTCAGACCTGCAGATCTGATTTCTGTATCACAAATGCACATAAAGACAGCAACAACTTAATTTTCATTGTTCCTGAGCTCCAGTCTTCGTGAAACGGGTATTTCCAAAAGGTGAAAAAGAATGGAAAGCAAACTGTTTTTGAAACAACCCATACATGTGTTTTGATTGTGCAGCCAAATGATATGCCCTACAATGTTGGTGTGTCCAGGTATTGTAAGTCATGTCAGAGTTAAAGATGTCACTTTAAGGCCTGGCCACTGGGGCACTAACAAGTGATGTGATACAGGACAAACATCTCAAGTCATCCACAGGTAGATAGAACAACTGTATCTCACCATTTTCTCCAAAGCAGAGTTGGAAATTACACAAAAATAAAAATTGTCAGATGGACCAGTACCTACCCACTAGCACAATGCATCACTGGCCAGCAATGGCAAGATGTGAATGCATTTGCCTTTATTCGCGCAAGGAAAGGTTAGTTATGAACAATGACACAAGGTAGGTAAACAGGCTAAGACCGATGTGACTGTTTATTGTAGGCGTCCGCCCTGAGAGCAGAAGGTTGCGGGTTCGATCCCGGACGCGTCATACCAAAAGATGTTAAAATATGGCACTTGTTGGTCCCTGCCTGACGCTCGGCATTAATGGGTATAACAAGGACTGGTTGGCTCGGAGTCAATATAATGTGTCTGAGTGGGGTATTCATGCTTCACTGCAGCATGGTATCTCAGTGGGCTAGCACTATAAAACCAGCTAAAGTGTGGGCTAATACAAGCAGCCGCACATACACATACACACACATGCACGTCGTCACATGAGCAAAATATTCTCAAGCATGACGTAAAACCCAATTTCATCTCACCACACCTGTTTATTGGGAGATGTAAAGAGCAACGAGAGTGGTTGTGTGATTTTCAGAGTCACCTATGTAAGTGTACCTGAGTAGGGAATCATGAGTCATCCCTCTTCCAGTATCTCGTAAGGATTAGGCAACTCTTGTGTCTCGCAGCAAGACCTTTATATTTTATGCTTTTCAGGGATAAATCTTAGAAGAATGAAAGCAATGGATGGGGGAGAACTAGATTAAGATTGAGAAGGTGTATTTGGGTGATATTCTATTTTGGGTATTAAGTTAGAGGAGTGGTTAAAATCTTTAATTATTTAAGTTTTGTTTAATTACATGTATTAAAGAATTGGTTGCTGAAGTTATACGTAGGCAGCAGACAGGAAGTATGTAGGTTTTACTAATTAACCAGAGAAAATAAGTTAAACTTCATTCTTGTGTTGTATGTGTAATAAGAGGAGATAGTCCAGCCAGAGATAACCTCACCGGACAAGCAGAAAAACAGGAGAGTGCAAAGATATGGAGTACACATCCGACATTTGCCTTCAAGACACTCTGTTCTGCTGTCACTGGGCACCTAAGGGAGACATTACACGCCTAGTTATATGGAAGAATAATTTCAGTACCACTAAAGTTAATAAACTGAAATCAATACTTACACAAAAGGCTAAGATGCATAAACATGCTTATAGGTAAACAGAAAAGCAGTATTATATCGATTTGGAATAGCGCATATTTAGAAAAAAGAAGTGATATCTGAATTACTGGTTAAAACCAAAGTGACAAAAATATGTGTTTACCTATTGTTTCAATCATCTCCAGATAGTCATTGTAATCCCTCAAGGAACTGAAGTCTTCCTCTTTCTTGTTGAAACTAGAACACAAGTCATAATGGGTGAGTCTGATGCCAAGTATAGCCAGGGAATGGTTTGTCTGAAGCCAAGCATAGCCAGAGAATTGGTTGTTTGATGCCAAGTATAGCCAGAAAATAGGTTTTTTGATGCCAAGTATAGCGAGAGCAAGAGTGTGAGTCTGATGCCGAGTATAACCAGAGAATGGGTTTTTTAGTGCCAAGTATAGCCAGAGAATGCATTGTCCGATGGAAAAGTGTAGCAAAGAATGGGTTGTCTGATGCCAAGTATAGCCAGGGAATGGTTTGTCTGAAGCCAAGTATAGCCAGAGAATGGGTTGTTTGATGCCAAGTATAGCCAGAAAATAGGTTTTTTGATGCCAAGTATAGCCAGAGCAAGAGTGTGAGTCTGATGCCGAGTATAACCAGAGAATGGGTTTTTTAGTGCCAAGTATAGCCAGAGAATGCATTTAGGAGATAAACATCATGTGTTGGCCAATTTCCGGGTGTTATTTAGGAGATAAACATCATGTGTTGGCCAATTTCCGGGTGTTATTGAGTATTTGAAGCTCGGGAATTAATTCCCGTATTTGAAGCACGGGAATTAATTCCCATATTTGAAGCACGGGAATTCATTTGGAACCGACGGCTTTAGCCGGAGGTTTCAAATGAAATATTCCCGTGCTTCAAATACTCAATAACACCCGGAAATTGGCCAACACATGATGTTTATCGACATTGTAAACACAAAAGTAAACCAAAAGGTCCACACACGTTTTTGTGTCTGCACTCAATGACATCGAGTACGGGTACAGCAGTGAAATGTCATCAGCCGGCCGTTTCGGCTGTTTCCCATGGTAGCATCTGGAGCTGCTCATTTGTGACGTCATTCCGACTCTACGTCACAATATGATTTTAATGATGTCATCACAGCTGACGACGTAACAATACAATCGTATGATCGATGTTTGCATGTATTAATATGCAGCTAATTTCTGGGAATCGAATACCATTTGATCACGTTTTCAACCAATCAGATTAAAGAGCACAGTGACTTTTGGTTTACAATGAGTATTTGAAGCACGGGAATTCATTTGGAACCGACGGCGTCAGCTGGAGGTTTCAAATGAAATATTCCCGTGCTTCAAATACTCAATAACACCCGGAAATTGGCCAACACATGATTTTTATCGACATTGTTAACACAAAAGTAAACCAAAAGGTCCACACACGTTTTTGTGTCTGCACTCAATGACATCGAGTACGGGTACAGCAGTGAAATGTCATCAGCCGGCTGTTTCGGCTGTTTCCCATGGTAGCATCTGGAGCTGCTCATTTGTGACGTCATTCGACTCTACGTCACAATATGATTTTAATGACGTCATCACAGCTGACGACGTAACAATACAATGGTGTGAGCGATGTTTGCATGTATTAATACGCAGTGAATTTCCGGGAATCGAATACCATTTGATCACGTTCTTCAACCAATCAGATTAAAGAACACAGTGACTTTTGGTTTACAATGTCTGATGGAAAAGTGTAGCATAGAATGGGTTGTCTGATGCCAAGTATAGCCAGGGAATGGTTTGTCTGAAGCCAAGTATAGCCAGAGAATGGTTTGTCTGATGCCAAATACAGCCAAAGCAAGAGCATGAGTCTGATGTCATCTATAGCCAGAAAATGGGTGAGTCCGATGCTAAGTATGGCAAAGAATGGGTGAGTCTCAAGGCAAGTATAGAAAGAGAGTAGGTGAGTCTCATGCCAAGTATAGACAGAGATAAGTGTGTCTCAAGCCAAGTATGGCACCAGAGAAGTGTGAATCTGATCCTATGTATAGCCACAGAGTTGTACAGCCTGACAGTGTGTGAATCTAATGTCCTGTACATTGAGAGTGCCTCAGTCTGATGACTTGTCACAGAGGAGGGTAGAGTCTGATACCCGAGGAATGTTTAGCAATGGGGTATAATTCCATTCTTAACATGACAGGACACAAACCCTTTAATGGTTTTATACATTTCCAGTTGACACACCAAACTCTGAACCTATCCTCGTTATAGAAATAATGCTAATTTCATTTCAGAGATCAAAAATGCATTTTCTAGAGTAAAAATATTATTGAATACTTAATCAAAATTGCTTGTCTCTTCCTCTGCCTGAGATAGAATGGCAACTTTCTGTGTTATGTTCAGATAACTCTTTGGGAAATTGAAACTTCTATTCTTCTTATATTCTAATTAGTGGGGTACCACCTTCTTTTTAGAGTAAAAGAAAAATATCTTAAATTGTGTGGATTTGTTAGACTTGCATAGAATTGGATTCTTGCTTGTTCAAGGACAATGCAAATGATAAGAACAGGTCGTAAACTTGACTGAATCATATCATGCATGTCCTGAAACACTTAGTAAAACAGTAACTTCTATGAGTGTATGTGATATTGGGTGAGTTGTTATCCTTGTAGGGACTGTCAGTTGTTGTGCTACCACTAATGGACCAAACTGATGGATGTAAACAACACCTCTGAATTCTCCCGAGATAGTGGTTAGCAAAGACGGTATCGCCAGAAACAACCTTCTGTAATAGATGCGAGGGAGCAGTTGCCATGTGGAGCTGCCATAACTCACTTCACGATGATCTAGGATAGACTGCTGCTGGATCATAGATGAAGGAAAAGGGATTGTCAACTGAGGTTCTAACGATAGACATGATCGATGAAGACGGGAAAAACAAAGAGATCATAGTGATTGTTGACCCCGGAGTAGGAGGGATTTCCAAACTGCACAACAGAACAACTTGGGGGATCAGTGAGGAGATGAATGGATTGACGATTCTAGGATGCTCGATGAACCATGGCGATCTTCTCACAACTAACACTCTCTAAGGGACTGACACGATGGGTGTCGGAGGATTGGATGACGAGACACCTAAGGTTCTTGCTATGATAAGAGTCTGGGGAAGTATCCAAGAATGTGTCATCGGTGGGGGTATCTTCATAAAGGGTTCCTTTTTGATGACAGGACAAAATCTTCTGAATGTGACTTATAGTCTCTGTCCTTCATACTTTGAGAGCTGGCCTTCCTATAAGTGTCAAGACAATTACAGGGCATTGCAACCTTTATCCCCAAAACAGATTCTGATACAATCAATGCTAGATGAATGAGTGAAGTGTGATGAAAAAGTCTGTTACATCTAGCACAAACTGTCCTCTTGGGTGTGCTGCATGTCTGAACCAATCCTCTTCAATATATCTTTATCTTTCTTTTACTAGTCATCTCTTTTACTCTTTCTACAGTTTCTCATATCTTCTTTTCTTTTTCAAGATGAAACAAAATCCCAATATTTGAAGGTATTCAAGAGATGTAATAGAAAATAGAATCTCTATATCAGACAGGTGGACTGCAGAGAAAGAAATGATGTAAGCTAGTCACATGATCAACCTGGGCAAGAGGGAAACTTTGGATGAGCTTACAGTGACTGCCAACAACAACAGACTGAACTAAGATGTGGTCAAGTGAGGTGATACTAAGGGCTGAAAACTTTGTTTCAGGTAACTTCCACTCCAGGGTCAAAAGAACAATATAAGTGCATAAAGTCAGATAAGATAAGTTTAAAAGTAGACTTTATGGGTAGTACAGTAGCATGTCCATGTCTTCACCTTTGATACAATATGTATCAGCAGGAGATAAACCCTTCAAAAGGTAAAGCAATTGGAAATTACATCAGCAATCCATACCAAAACCTCATGATCTTCATAAATTCTTGTCATCTTGCACTGAATCTTCACTGACTAACGGTTCAATTACATCTTTGTCTTCAACCAAAAATGAAGCCTTTAGTTTTGGTGCTGTTGACAAATGCTTAGAACAATTGTCCACCACTGACGTCAAGGGTGTGGAATGCATCAAACTCTTGATGACGTTGTTGTTGATGTAGTATATGTAAGTAATGTTAGCTATTACATCCAACCGGGAAGAATTCTATGCTGCTTTATAGTCTGTGGCTGTGCTCAGGTCTGAGGTTGTGTGAAGGTCTGAGGCTGTGCTCAGGTCTGAGGCTGTGTGAAATTCTGAGGCTGTGTGAAGGTCTGAGGCTGTGTGAAGGTCTGAGGCTGTATGAAGGTCTGAGGCTGTGTGCAGACAAGCAGTTGCATGAATGTCTGAGGCTGTGTGCAGGCTAGCAGCTGTGTGAAGGTCTGAGGCTGTGTGAAGGTCTGAGGCTGTATGAAGGTCTGAGGCTGTGTGCAGGCAAGCAGTTGCATGAATGTCTGAGGCTGTGTGCAGGCTAGCAGCTGTGTGAAGGTCTGAGGCTGTCCATAGACATGATAGTATCTGCTAACTTCTAATCCCCCATGGAGACACAATAAACTGGATTTACTGTCTATATTGTAATGTTACGGGACACATGATAAACAAATTGGGTGTGGATCCCGACACTTGTTTATAAATTGAACATGAAGAAGATATGGGGTGTTTTTCATGAAGAAGATATGGGGTGTTTTTCATGAAGAAGATATGGGGTGTTTTTCATGAAGAAGATATGGGGTGTAATTATGTCTAAAAATTTCACTAATTAACCACCAAAGAATACCTTGTAGATATGATGTACCAAAGATTAATAAAGACAATCCAAGCCAAACATTTTGAAAAAAGTTAATAATTTTGATAGAATGGCTTGGATTAACACAAAAGAAAATTTCCTCTACCATCCCGTTGGGCGAAAATGCAGAGAGTGATGAGTTACTGGCTGGTCATGTGGGGGCCTGTGTGTATGCTCAGGAGAGGGGTGCATTCAGGTGAGATGTTTTTTTTCTGTTCTTGGCGAACACAATACAGAAATGTTTGAGGCAGAGGGGGAGGCAAGCAAGTAATATTAGTCTGAATGAAGAAACCTTCTGTGTTAAAATGCCTAGGCTTACCCATTGAAATTTAAGTGCTCCAATAAGAATAGAAATATGCATTGGTAGAGATGTTTGTTTAAAAACATTCAGTGTCCACCTCTGGTAAAAATGGCATGGCAGCACGCGTCAATCAACTGAAACAGCTGCCAGAGAGAACCATTATAAACATGTAATTTTCTGAATAAAATTGATATTTTATACTTATCCTGACTCATGCTTATTGCTTACCTCATGAGTCAGGATAGGGAAAAATATGTAATTTTCTGAATAAAATTGATATTTTATACCTATCCTGACTCATGAGGTGAGCAATAAGCATGAGTCAGGATAAGGAAAAATCTAGAAAATGAATAGAGAAGGTAAAGGAAATCATTACATACCACTGCACATTTCTAGTGTGATGTTTTTACCTTTAGTTTCGAGGAATACAAGCCTTCAACATCATGTAGATTACCAGATTAGGTACTAAATTAGTATGATTTTCTGTGTAGGCACCCAAAACATATTCAAACCCTGCCAGTACGATGTTAACTATTCTGTTCAAAATTCAAACCCTGCATTTATAAACATCCTTCACTTGCCATATATTAACCTTTTCTTCTTTGTACAGTCAGGTATTTTATACATTTATTTTAAACAAACTTTG